GACGGTTCTGCATTTGCTTGCCGCCTACGAACGGCCGGGATGGGCAGATGGTCAGAGTGTCGAAAGGCTGTTTGAGATACTTGAGCTACACACAGCACATTCGCATACCAACATCTATGGAGAGCTCGCATTGCACCGGGCTGCAGCAACTGGAAGCATGGAAGAGGCTTTTGATGCCATGGGATCCGCACGTAATGAACTTTTGAATCCTGGCACTCTTTCACCTCATGCAAGGGATAAGTTTGGCCGCTCCTTAGTCTTTCATGCCGCCTGCGGGGGAAACGTATCCGTCATCCGCAAGCTCGTGCGCTTGGGCGCTTCACCAAATTCTGCCGACGAGCACGGAAGGAGCCCACTTCATGCAGCCGTAATGGCTGGACAGGCTTCAGCAGTCAAGGCTCTGCGAGAAGCGGGAGCCGCAGTGAACAGCGTTACACGCATTGATGGTTTGACTTCTCTTCATCTAGCTTGTCTGTATGGGTTTGAAGATTGCGTGGCAGAACTGCTGAAAGAATACGAACCGAACATGGGCGTAAGTAGTATAAGTGCGGGTAAGTTCTCAGCCGGTGGCGCGCACGGGTGTTTCCACGCATTGCATGTGGCTGTTGGTAACGGGCACACAGGCTGTGTAGCCAAACTGCTCGAGCATGACAGCACGTTACTAGGTTGGCCTGGCGAAGGCTACATCAGGCTAAAAGATTCAGAGACGGGAACGTTAAAGGAAGGGCAATTAGTGGTACTTGAAACACCGCTGAGGGCGCTCGAAATTGCTGTACTTCTGGGCAAACCTGAGATCTCTTCGCAGATCGACGCAAAGATGGAATCGAGTTCGACAGCCTCACTTCAGGAAAGGATCGAGGCGCTCTTAAGTCATAGTCAATAGCAACACAGGTAGAGAAGATGATCAGCTGAAGCACGATCGTGAGGCTTATACAAATGGAATCTGCGACGGTATTTAGAAGGATAGATTGGAAAGAGTCTGGGCTAAAATGAAGAAGATTTAAAAACTTCCGGTGGTTACTGTCAGATTCTCTTACTGAAAGTGTGACTGTCCATTCCAACTATTACTAACTTTCAGGAACGACTGTAATATTTTGATTGGTGTCCCGGGAACAAATCAATGACGAAGCCGACTGAGCGGGTGCGAGGGTTTCGACAAAACAATATACAACTATTCTATGTGTCTCATTTGTACAATAAGAACAACAACAGCGTATGATCACAACATGCTGTCTCAATATCACCAGAAGCCCGAGGACCAAAACTCGATGGTCTCGTTCCTGTTGGGCCCTTGTCTAGTAGTCTTTGCCAGCCACGCACCACATCATTACTATCGGTACCACCTATGTAAGCTCTTCTGAAACCTGTTGTACCCACGAAACACACTCGCTATTGGCGATGTCTTTGAAATCGTATTGTCCTACAGCCTCCTCGGCGCCCAACTCAAGCATTTGGTTGATCCATGCTGGTATAGTTTCCATATCTGGTGTCTGCTGCCTAGGCATCTTACTGAGAAGTTGGGCAAGGGTTTGAGCTCCTACCTCAGCCATATTGCTCACCTCCGCAAGCATTCGGAGACGTACAAGCGCGTCATCAACAGCGCGCAAGCATTGGTCCCGAGATACGTGGGCCTTCCCAGGCCCGAGAGGATCTATTCTTAGTGTGGTGAGAGGACCGTCCTCGCTCTTGCCCGGAAAGTCGATATCCGTACAGAGGCCGACAAGCAGAACGGCAGCTTCAAATGTTGGGAAGATGATGCCCACGAACCGTGTGTGGCAGCCGCCTAGTATAGTGTGCAACTTAGAGACGCTTTCCAGTACCCTCAATGCTGCCACGGCCAGAGCCCTTCTCTGAGACGATAGGAGAACTCGCTTGTATACGGGAAGCCTATTTAGGCAGGCTGGGTTCTGAAGCAGTACCGGACGAAAGTTGCAGCAGAGCGACTCGAAAATGGTGGTATGCAGGTTTTGCCTCTGTAGAGGCAGCATAGGAAGACGCTCGTCCCATTGCGTGCTGGAGTCCAAAGCGAAGGCCGGTGGCAAAGTTGTGAGAAATCCGTTGCAAAACTTCTCGTATGTTGCTTCGGCTACGGTCGCGTCGTAATCTCGCCTTGGCAAGAAGTCTCTCCAAAAGGACGCCAGACGGGCTTGGATCAAACGTTCTGAGAACTCCTCAGGGGCGTCGGCGTCGTCAACGTTTGGACCGAGGTGCATCCGTGGAAGGTTTTCGTCGGTCAGACCCGAGGGCAAGAAAGGGGACATGTCAAGTTGTCTCGAGAAAAGGCTGAGTGAACGTTAGCTATGAGTGACCAAATATGAGCCGTCGAGGTGAGCGTGGTACCTGTCCCATATGAAAAGGTTGCAGTACACCCTGCGACGCATTTCCTTGTCTAACTCATTCATTCCCATAATTGTTGCCGCAGGCCTTCGATCAAGTCCAATTCTGTGTGCGACTCGAACCGCGTCGCCAAATGCTTCCCAAAACATTTTATTTCGCCCTTCGCACTGGTACCGTAATCCCGAAAAGAGCAGATGCTGCACGCGTAGAAGAGAGCCCTTCCCGTCGAGTCGAATGCAGATTGCAGTGAGCTTGTCGGCGACATCGTTGATTGAGTCCCGAATGTCCGTCAGGGACATGCCTCTGATCTTATCGATAGTGTAAGACGGCGAGGGGAGAAACTGCAAAGCATGAGAACACATCCTCAGGAGCAGCACTGCGAACTCGACGTCAAGTGTTGATGACGGTCGTTCTGAGTTCCACCATACTTGGTACTGTGACAAGAACCAAGGTGGGTGCACAAGTTGTTCCATCCTACGAGAATTGTAATTGTTAGTCGGTTTTCTAGGTTATCACTAGCTGGCAGCGCCGCGATACGAACCAGTGGATTTCCATCACGTAGTACTGCACGAGAAAGTCAAGAATCTGACGATCGGGCATTCTTTCCGTTTGATCTTCAACTTCTTCCAACGACTCTAAAGGGATAGGCGCGCATTGTCTATCTCGGATTTGGTGATGTCTCAGCCCTAACTATGTGCAGCTGTCAGAAATGATACATCACGAATGGCGAATGAGCCAAGAATGTCGCGGGGAGCTTAAGCATGTAATGAGAGAAGCGGGAGAAACTGCACTGACCCCACAGACCACAGCCATAGTGTTAGACTCGCTGTCCTCAAAATATCCAAACACTTCGGCTATCGAATCCGCCACGTCGATCCTGCTCTCCTGGTCTGTGGTACTCCGAGCAGAACCGCTGCTACAGTTTTGTTGAATGCGGGTATCATGTGCTGTAGGAGCATCTTCGTTTTGGCGAGCCTCCGTTTGAATTGGTGAAGTATTGGCTTGCAATGCCTGCGAGTTGTAATAAGCGCACTCCTCGGGTCGCCGGCGCCGAGAGCAATGATTGCATGGATAACGACGATTGCACTACGCGGGCACACGAGTTAGGACTGATGAACGATGTCTCACTCCAGGAAGTTGTGGGCAAATCTCCAGACCTTCTGCTTCCTAGTGTAACATGGAATACAAGATGATACAACACGCTTTCGGCCAGGCTTTTGCATGTCCGATGTTTCTGGCTCGGATCTAGAAGCAATGCGGAAAGCATCCATTTGATTTGACTTTCATCTAGTTTCCTGGGCGAAGACAAGAGCTGTAATACGGCAAAAGTGATGGAGGGTTTTATCATCAGCTTATCCATCAAGCTTTGTGGTCGGCGACTGGCCAGATAGAGCCCGGAACGAACTATTGGAGACAGTGACGAGAGCTTGTATTGTTCTTCAGCTGCCTTGCAACACTCAAAGTTCCTATCTGCAGCTTACATACATGCCTGTCATACCAGCATACGAAGTATTTCGTCTCAAGGCTCGCTGGGCGAATTCGTCTTTATGTCTTGACATGAGGTTATTCTCATTTTGTAAAGTGTATCATCGCGCCTACCATAGCCACCCCTCCCCATACCCCCTAATCCTAAAGGACTAGGGTCTTTTACCTTTGCGGCGGAACTAATGCGGCGATTCTCCGGGCCCGGTCCGTCGTCAAACTAGGATCTAGCCGTCCTTCGCTCTACATGCCGTGCTGCATCGGTTCGATTACGCAGCCGTCTCTTACAGGAATGGCGCGGGCGTTGGAGGGACTTCGTCAAGGGTTGCCGTGGGGGATGATAAGCGAAGTCGATGGCCCCGGTAAGCAGGCGAGTCCCCCGGACTTAACGGACAGGCATGCAGAAATCCTGGGATGTTTCTGACTGCAGTGTTTCGGCCCTGGTGGCGACAAATAAACCAGCGTCAAGTGCCATCAATCATTGGTCACGGCGTTTCTTTCATAACAGATATCCGTCGCGGAGAGATGAGTTAGGAGTGAAGGGTGACAATCATACGAGAACGGTCTTGCAGCAAGCCTCGGCAAAGTACACTTTCATGACTCACGTATCCCAGCTATGAGCGTTCAATATACCTCCTTGTCAGTCCCGGTTGCTGACTCGCATATCTATCTTGTGCGTTCCGATGATGCTACGTGACGATCCAGGGTCCTCATGGTCGGCCGATATTTTTCGCCCGAGAATCATCGGCTTAAGTACGGCACCTTACCATTAGCCTGCGACTGTGACAGCACCACGAGGTACTGCTTGTTCATCTGAAGATCAGGAATACTTAGGGCTCAATCTTGCGATGAGGTCTAGAGAGCATGAAAGTGACGGATGTTGGGTCTCACTCATAGTGTTGTCGCCTGAATAAATAAAGCCGAGCTCTCATATCTTCACTTTATATCGACAGACGCCATCAACCAAATCTTTCTTTGTATTTGGTGTGCTGTACATCACTATGGCTCTTTCAGATGCGATCCAACTTCTCGGTCGCGGGCTGCTGTCAACGCCACTCGGCCTTCTTGCCGTACTCGGAGTCCTTTATCTCTTATACAAACGGTTGCTATTACCCCGGCCCCTCCCGGGTATTCCGTACAATCCGGAGTCAGCCCACAAAATCCTGGGGGACGCCCCAGATATGCTGCGGGAGGTCAGCGTCACTAGGGAGCTCAATGTGTGGCTACTCAAGCAGGTGAACACCCTGCAGACACCCCTATCCCAGGTGTTTGTGGATCCCTTTTCGAAGCCCTGGGTACTTCTCGCCGACGCCATCGAAGCCCAGGATGTCATGATGCGGCGGCCCGAGTTCGACCGGTCGGACTTTATCACCGACGGGCTGGGCCCGGTGGGCGCCTTTCATGCCCGGATGAAGAGGGGCCAGACTTGGAAGCAAACGAGAGCCTGGCTGCAGGATCTCATGAGTCCCAGCTTTCTGAATGGAACGGTCGGCCCCGTCATGTACGACAATGCGCTCCATCTCGTCCATTTCTGGGAGACGAAAGCCCGCTTGGGCAGTGGACGACCGTTTGACGTCAACGAGGATCTGAATCACAACGCTCTCGATGGCATGCTCTCCTTCGTGTTTGACAAGCACTTTGCGCACACTGCTCTGGGTCCCCAATTCAAGGCTCTCTCTCAGCTAGACCCCTCAAGCATCGAGATCGGACCAGACGGAGAGGCCAGATTTCCCGAGGCACCGGTTCATGAGTTCATTTCTGCACTTTATGAAACGGTTGAAGGCATCGACGAAGTAACCAAGTCTATGCTCCCGTGGCTGAAGACATGGTGGATCAACCAGACACCAAAGTTTAGGAAGCTAGTAGCAGTGAAGAGACAAGTTGTGCGAGAGCAAATCCAAGGCTCTCTTGGGAGGTTAGATGAGACGGGAGAAGCCAAGACGGCAGTGGAATACATGTTGATGCGTGAGAAGAGGACTGCAGAAAAAGAGGGCCGCAAGCCTGATTTCGAGAATCCAATTTTGATGGACGAGGTAAGATGAAGAGCGCTCTCAAACACCAAGGCTTGGAAGCCCGTCGATAACAGGTACTGATGTGGAAAACAGATTGCAGGACAGTTCATAGCTGGCTTACACACGACCAGCACGACGCTCGCCTGGACATTCATTTACTTGACTCGGCTACCAGAAGTACAAACCAAGCTACGGCATGCGCTGCATACGGCCTACTCCGATGCGCACAATCAATCTCGGACGCCCACGCTAGCCGAACTGAACAAGACGCGGGTGCCCTATCTTGAAGCTGTGCTGGAGGAAGCGCTCCGACTGCATGCCACCAGCGTAGCACGGCAAGCCACCCGCGACACGGAGGTATTCGGTCATCGCATCCCCAAGGGCACAAACGTGGTCATGGTCGCCAACGGCCCGGGCTTCCATGCCCCATCGTTTGACGTGGACCCTAACCGGCGCAATGCAACGGCCAAGACGACAGTGGGCTGGGATGAGGGGCGAGACATGAAGGCGTTCGACCCAGAGCGATGGCTCATACGCGGGGAAGTCGATGGAGCCGTGGAGTTCAACGCAAACGCAGCACCACAAATCGCCTTTGGTATGGGTCCTCGCAGCTGTTGGGGTCGCCGACTGGCGTATCTAGAACTGCGCATGGTTACGACTCTTGTGGTGTGGACATTTGACCTGCTGGAGGTCAGCCCATCGCTTGCCGATCCCAAGGCTAGTTACGGAATAGTCCACAGAGCGGATCGGTGCTTTTTGAGACTCGGACCCCGGGTGAATATTCAGATGAATGAGGAGTAAACATGGTTGAGATTATTGAGATGTTACTCGGTGCGTCTTGTCCGCGTATAATGTCGAATGTTTCTTCCACATTCATTTCGTTATCAGCCGGGGAAGAATGTAACCTCCGGGGCAAAATACTATTTATGCATATGCATATAGTCAACGGAGATCCCGAGTTCTTACCGCGTGGAGGTTACTCGACTACTTATTGGTCGGAAACCGATGGGATGGATCAAATCCTTGCCTCAATCCAGGGTTGTGACATTTCTTCTTTCCCTTTGAAGCAAAAGCTGCTAGGAAAGTCGTCTGACACGACCCATTATTTAGACTCCGTACGCCGCGTAAAGTTTTGCAAGGGATCTAGAGAATCTGCATTGCCACAGGTTTTCCTACAGCCGTGATGACTCTAATCCGCTTGAAGGTAAGAGTTCGCAAAGATGTTGCATCAACCAGGATACATTTACTTTGAGTGCGAGTCCTGGAAGGCTGTGTATGGGAGTATTATCCTAGGAATCCAAGCGGTGAAATCTGATTTGACGTCCAGTCTCGACCCTCCTCATGACGTGCTTCCCAGCGACGAGGTCGCGGTCGGCGAATGTGGAGTATTTCGCGAAATATGCTCCGAAACAATCTTTATCAAAATCGACCCGCGTCTCGAAAAGGCCTTGATCTGCGGTACGAGTAGAGCTCAGCGCGGTACGGTGAGCGATGTCACAAGGCTTTTGAAAGGAAGTGGAGGGGCGAGGAGTCATATCCTTTAAGTCAATGGTCTGATGAATTATCTGACTATGGTCTAAAATAATGGTACAATGAAGGTCCCTGTATTTCTTCGACGGTGAGGGCCCGTCATGTCGCTTCCTGCAGAGACCACGTTTGTCATGATGTCTGTACTGAGCTGGGTTGCTGGGTCAAAAGGAAGAATTGGCGATGACAAAAGCCCACCTTCCTCGATAAGTAAGAGATCTCGAGAAAGAACAGGCGGCCTGAAAAAGCAAAGTCTCGAGTCGTCTCCTCGAAGAAGACAATGTTGGCGAACACCTCTTAGGCGGCAGCGATGCCAGTGCTTGCACCAAAGAGCCTCTCACGCCGCATGATGAGACTCAGAATAGAGGTGAGCCCTCCGGCGGCAATGACCAGCGTGTATGTCTGATCTATGGCTTTGACAATAGCATCGAGAACCCGGGTCCTGAGCTCTGCAGAGAGACCACGCACAAGGCTTGAGCGGGCACCCAGGATTGCAGCTTGAATATCAGCTGAGGGCGTGTTCGGCAAGATCTGTTCAATCTTGTCTTGGCTGGAGTTGAGGAGGATGGCGTTGGCGATGGCCAAGGAGAGGGTAATTCCCACGAATTGGGCAAGAGTGATGAATCCGATGGCTGGAGGGATGTCAAGCGGTTTCACAACCGTTTGAACGACGGAGAAGGAAGCTTGTAGAAACATGCCGACTCCAGCGCCGATGATCACTGTGTAACCATACACGCGGCTTGTGGGCGTGTCTTGCTCCACAGTGTACATGAGCGCGCCCCCCACCACAACCAGAAGGCCGCCCACCAGATACCATGGCATGTAATATCCCAGCTTGGGCATCAGAGCGCCATTGCTGAAGACGATAACTACCATTACGACAATGAAGGGAAGCAGACGGACTCCTGCATCCAATGGACCATCATTGCGGGTGAATTGGAAGAAAATGGGGACCATGTAGATGGGCACGAACGAGCCTGCGCCACCGGTGGCGCAGACTACGAACAGGATAAGTACAGAACGAGAGCGGAAGAACTGGATGGGGATTGTGCGACGGTCGGGTGTGGTGAAGATGCTGAGGACTTGCTGAACGCCGAGGATGATGAAGAGGACCCCGGTAACAACAAACAACGCAATGATGCGGCCAGAGTCCCACGGGTACACAACACCACCCAAGTTGACTGCCAGAATCAAGGCGGTGAGCGCTCCGGCTTGGAGAGTGAAACCGGCATAGTCCACCTCGGCGAAACGAGAGCGGAGCGATGCGCCGGGGCGAGGGTCTTTACTCGGGATCAAGAAGATGTAGAAGGGTGCACATACGGCGCCGATGAAAAGGTTGATGTAGAAGGCCCAGCGCCAACCCACTGAAGATTCGCTGAAGGCGCCGCCGATGACGGGGCCGAGAACGATGCCGAGACCCCATGTAAGACCGGTGCTGGAGACATACAGCGGGCGCTCAGCCATGGTGGTGGTGGTAGAAATGAGGGTCATGCAGCCGACATACAATCCCGAACCGCCCGCTCCAGCGATGGCACGGCCCAGAATCATGACATCCATGGTCGGCGCAGCGCCGCATATGACAGAGCCGACCTCAAAGAGAACAACGTGGAAGATGTAGAGCCACTTGGGGTTGAATTGGCTGTACAGACGGCCCCAAGCCAAATTGGTGGCAGTTGCGGTGAGAAGAAAGGCGACGCTGAGCCATGAGAGTTTCTGAATGTTGCCGAACTCCAATATGATGACTGGCTGTAGGTCGGCAACCACGGTATTGTCTAGAGCGTAGATGAAGGTAGAAAGCAAGATTGAAATGATGGTAAGATACCATTTCCAACCGTTGATGTCACGCGGAGGAGCCTCCGGTTGCAAGGTGGTCTCGGAGCTGTCTGGCGCTTGTTGTGATTGCTTCTCTTCATCTTTTGGGCCGTTTTCTGCCGGACTTGTTGAGCCTTCCTTGGACGTGGTGATGTCACCCAGGCTGGTGTCGCCCGAGCTGTCCTTCCCTTCGTCAACCACCGCCATTGGATTGTTTTGACGGATGAAGTGTGAATCGTGACTAGGTACCTGATGAAAGAAACGTGAAGGAATGAAGTATGATGTCGTGAGTTGATGAGTAAAGAGTGACGGAAAAGGATTGAAGGTCTATTTATCTTAATTTTATCAACTACATCTCGGGTGTGGATGTCTTGAAGTCTTAGAAACTAATAAGCTTTTTGATGAAGCTTTCGTCAAAATGACCCTTCCTAGCCTCGAATTATCCCGATGCCCATCTTGTCAACAGTCAACACACGGCTGATCGACGCTACGGCACTTTCAGCAATCTCAGACAGGCTTGGTCAGATTTGTAAAGTCGGGATTGAATTTGGCCGGTCGACAGGGGATGAGGAGAAGAAGGGTTTGCGTCCCCGACTCTTTCAATCAAACATCAGGTGGTTCTAGGGCCGGCCCGCGTTGCCATATGCGTCCCTCGGCCGTTGGTTCGTCGATGAACGAGGTGGTATTCAAGGGAGGTAGCAGTGCATCTTACCACGCCTTATCAAAGCAAGCATAGGGGTGGGGTGGGGAGAACGGCTGTTGGCCGTGGAAGACAGTGGTATGCATCCGGCGAAAGTTTAAATTCAGACCCTTGAATGATTGAAGGCAAGGGGCTGTTGGTATTCGACGCGACACTTTCCTGAACGAGACTGACTGGGATGTGAATTGTAGCCTGGCTCTATGTCAGAGCGACGTGGCAGCCATCCCACTGCGACATGAGATGTCTTGTAAGTCTGTTTACACGCTCGGAGCATCATCGGAGCTGAATGCAGAACCCCGGGATGCCTTCCAAACACAAGACTGAGCTATCTGTGACCTCTACATGATTATTGCCAGGGCACATAGATGAGGGACTTCATTACAAAGTATTCTTCTGTATATTTGTTCCTTTGAACTCAGTGTCGTCACGCATTGATGTGCCTGATGAGACTTACCTAGGCCCAGTTTGATCCAAAGTGGTATAGAGTACATGAAGCAGCGGCTTTCTTAGCTCGATACGAGTGCCCTTGTCTCTATTTCCACAGCTCGTCTGCTCCATGCTTGGCTTCCATCACACTTTGATTTCAGCGGCGTAAGTGCGCCTCCACCAAGCCCATCAGCCCTTCGGGACGAACAGAACGGATCTCATATCTCTCATCCGCCTGCTTCAGCAGAGCCTCGAACTCATCCGCAGTACGTAGCTTACCACCAAAGCCCACCAGCATGATTAAATCAATCTGGCGCATGCCGCGTTCCACGTCGCGCGTAAGCACGCCCTGCTCTGGCAAGATCATGTCGTTGATAAGCAATGGCGTGCCGGGTTTGGAGCGCTCGAGACCCGGGACGAGGGCGCGGAACATGTCAACGACTCGGGCATCACACCAATTAAGCGCGCACGCGCGCAAAATGAAGGCCGCGGCATCGCCAACAGGCTGCGGGTCGAAGAAGCTGTGCTGCATGAAGGTGACGCGTCCGCGAGTGTCGTCGGTGAGGAGTGATTGACCTGCTACGTGCATGTCTGCTGAGTCTTGGACGATGAAATTGAGGTTGGGGAAGGTCTGTGTTGACGAGTGAGAAAGGACGATCACGAAAATTAGGGAAAATGTGAGAGTTGCTTACTTACCTTTGCTAAAGTAATGGAGACCTTGCCGCTGCCACCGCCAACATCGACGACGGTTCCGTTCAGATTGCCCCATGGAAAGGAGTCTTTCAGAGCATCAATGTTGAGGTTCACTTTTACGCGTTAGTCTAGAGCATCCCACTCCGATCAGATCAACCCCAGGCCTGGGAGCAAAGAAGCGGCGCGCAGCACTGATAGGAAGGAAAAGGGGCTCTACATTTGGCCCAGCCTGCCATGGCTTTGGCAAAACGGATGGAACGCTGGGTATCCTTCTCGTAGAAGTTGAAGATCGGAAGGCCATGTCTCGTCGTGAACGGGGTGACAGCACTATCATAGTTCTTGGGTGATACCTTGACATTGTCAGCGGTTGCGGTGGCCGCTTTGAACATCTCGTCAAGTCTGCACGGAGAAATTAGCAAACAACATGAGTCGGCGTCTCGTTGGTGGCGTACGTGTAATGCAGCGTTGCACGAATCTCCTCGTCCTTGTGTAAAAGGTACGAGCTGGGATTATGGGCGACATATCCAGGCGTTGGCTCCCGGAAGATGGACTCGGTCGCAAGGAGACGAACAATGCGGGTAGTTCTGTCGAGATCGACACCAGCCCGGTCGGCCAATTCTTCCAGCGATATCTTCCCCTCGGC